ATGCCGCGGGACACCTGGGCAGTCTTCACATACAGAAGAGTCTGTTGCAGAAAGGAATGGAGCAATCTGGTGATGAATGGGACAAGAGGTAATAGGTTTAAATGCAGCAGGTTAGACTCCCATTCCTGCCAGTAATGATTAGTGACTCACTGGAATGGGTTGTCTGGGGATGTTGTGGCATATCCATTCCTGGAGGTCTTTTAAGAACTGGTTAGGCAAAGATGAGGAAAGACATAAGTATAGGATGGACAAGGTGGACTGGGTGAGGTCCATTCTCCTGGGACTCTGGCTAGGTTTCTTCTAGCAACACTTAATATCCCAACCCCAAATCCAACAGCCTCCAAAGGACCTTTGTGGGGAGAGATATCACAGAGCGCAGTGATGGAGTGGATGGACTGGTTCCTCCTCAGGGTAACAAGGACATCTGGGCAGATGGAGCAATCCATCATTTGCCTACATATTGACAGCGACTTCCCCCTCAACAACTGAGTCACTGCGCACCTCTCTCCCGAAAGCACCAGTCCTCTGTTTGCTCAGCTCCGCACAAGGGAGTGAGGATGTTCAAGTGCATGTTTAAAGTCACCTGCCAGCCTGGGGACTCCTGCTGCTGCTCAGCTGTGGCAGGGTGCTGGCAGAACACTGCCAGACCTCCAGTCCCCGGTGTTTAGGGCCACGGAGAGCACAGAGTGACCTTCCTTAGCCCGCGTTCCTTGGAGAACCCTGCAGCCTTGATTGAAAGAGAGGGTGAACGACTCGCTGGCACCTGCCGGTCTGGCGGAGGTGTTTAATGGTTTTTACGTGTTGCAAATGATGACTGCAGGGACAGGAGCAGAAGAGTTATGCAGAAGCGTTGCTCTGCCAGGCAGTCTGTACTAGAAGGAGCATCCTCTGGAAGTCAGATGACAGGAGAGGGCAAGCAAAGGCTTGGTCTGCTCAGGGAATCTCAGCAGAAAGCAGAAGGGGAAGCCTGTAGACTGGCCTCCCTGTTTTCCTATCTGATTTGGTGTGCCAGTCCTTATAGATTTTCCAGTTGAGCAGTGATTCCCCTTTAGAAATTTGGCCTAAATTGCAGCGAGGCACACGAGTTGGGTTTTCCTTGTCACCATTTGCAGATCCCTGAAGAGCACTCTAGGGTTCACGGGGGCCCTGAAAAGTATTTCTGGAGTTTTAAAGGGCTGTTGCTGGTTTTGTGGCTGCAGTCACGCGTGCCCCAGACCTGCCAGGCACTGTACAAACAGCCCTCTCTGCCTCCATCTGCCTCCCATAGAGTTTTTCTGCTTTCCTGTGCCCTTTCAGATACCTTGTGACCTGCACTCCTGCTCTCCACCAGCCAGTCCGACCCACTCCTACAGGGCTCAGAAACAGCAGCCACCAGCCCCCGCAATGCTCTGCCTCCTCTCACACCTCCTGTACCGCTCCCTGTCCCACCACGACTGTACTTCTGCCTGTATTGAACCCCCTGCGCTGATGGACCATTCGCCTCTGGGGATGGGCTCTGCCCTCATTGATGGTGACAGACCAACAGTCTGCTGAGATGCCGCTTTCTTCCTCGGTCCCCAGGAAACGGAGAATGATTGAAGCTGCTTTTAGTGCCACTGTTGTGCTCTTCCACGCAATGCTGTTGTCATCCACCGCCCCTCATCTGAAATGTCCCATGGGCACCCAAGCGAAACAACTCGCTGAGAAGCAAAAACTATCTCAAATGCATGTGCTGCCAGGAAGCATTGAGAAATCTGAAGGGAAAAAAAAAAAAAAAAAAAAAAAGTAGATAAATATGAAACCCAAAACAACCCTCAGCCATCTTCTCGTGCCAACGGAAAGAGCAAGAGGATCCTCAGGGCCCTGGCAAGCGCCGCTTGGGCTGGGCTTGCCGTCCCTGCCAGCAGCGAGGAGGTGAACCCAAGGTTCGGGGAAGTCTCCCGGCTGTTTGGGTGCTTCTGGACGGGATGCCAGACACAGCAACGCCGAGAGCAGCCGCTGTGCTTTGCCAGTCATTGAGTAACGAGTGGCGCATCCTCGGTGACGTGACCCTGCGAGCGACCTACCGTTACGTGCCCAGTGCTCAGAAACATTTTCCTCGGTGTGACCCGTGTTCTCCAACTTTCTGCCCCTTTGGGGGATTAATTTGGTTTATATTCCTCTTCCTCTTCCTTTTTTTTTTTTTTTTTTTTTCCCCCCCAAAAGGCTCTTTGCTGGAAAATGTATTTTGAGTGTAAACGTAACAGGACCTGGAACAGAATGTCAGATAATTAAATGTAATGGGCGCTCTCATTAGTGGAGGGGAGCTGCTGGTTTCTGTCAATTAGTACGGGAGAACACGATGTGCAGTGTTTGACACACGGATGAATGCAAAGTGCTGTTTGTGTTTATTGCTCCCAGGTGCTCTGCAACTAAACCGGGACTATGTACCCAGCTCTGCTGAACAGGTCTTCTGGTTTTGTTGCTCTTTGAAGGTGCTTTTTAGTGGTGCTAGAACTAAAGTCCCTGTGTATCCCTCATAGCCCCAAATCTGTGGACAGATTGGTTTTTAATGCATCCTTGTAAGCTGGTTGCAGGGACTACAGAGAAAATACTTGATCCACCAGATATCTGTGCCTTCCGTATCTTTCTTACTTTTCCTGCGTCCTCCCACCTTCCTTCCCGCACGGCAAGGACCGGAAACTTTGATGAACTTTTATGCTTTTTCTTTTCTTCTCTTTTTTATTTTTTTAGGTGTTTTATAGTACCAAAGGGATTCCAAGCAGCAGGGATGCTGCTGGAACTTAATAGGAAAATAAAAAACAAAAAGATACAAGAAAAAGGTTGTGATTTATCAGCAATTTCCTGGCGTGGGACTCTGAGCTGTGCATGCGTGTCCTGTGCAGACACAGGTTTGCAGTGATGAGTGTGTGTTAGGCATGTCTGGTAAGTTCAGCTCAGAGGCAGTATTTAGTCCTCAGGGATGTTTGTCATTTTGAAGTACTCTTTCATTTAGGTGCAAATCAAGATCCAAAGCCTTGCGTGTTATAAATCAGCTGCACTTGTCTATCGCTTGTACCAGTAGAGAATCTAATCTGGCGAAGGTCAATAAAGGTAAATTAGTCTCCAGTCTCCTTCTGCAAACCACAAGTTTACCAAATCCTCATTCAAAACAGTAAGGCATAAACGTTCGGTGCTTGATCTAATCAGATAATCTCTAAATGCATAACCAAGCAGCCCATTTTCCTCCTGACGGAGCGTGACGTGAGGAGCAGACGTGTCAGAAGCGCTGCAGAAGGACAGCGGAGGGAATGTCCCTTCCCCACATGTTGCAAACCCATCCTCTGTTCCCCTCCCCGTGCTGACGGGGGCAAAATACGCAGAGAAATTACACGTCCCCCCGTGCCACCAAGAGCAAGGTTGTACGCTGGGCAGGCGGGGGAAGGTCTTGGGGGAATTACCCATATATTCGGGTGTTACTTTGGTAAGTAAGGAGCAGAATATTTTATTAAAGACTCCCTTTTTTCCTAGAGCCCATCTGCAGCAATGCGCAGGGCACGCTCACGGAGCGCTGTGTGCTCCTGCCTTCCGCCCTGGGCTTCTCTGGGAGAGGGTGAGGAGAGAGCTGACCCTCAAACCCAGATATCGATATATCAGATTTTGTGGGTTGTTTTGGCATCACGGGACACTCAGGATGCAGGCCATGACAAGCCCAGAGGTGCTGATCCAGGGATGGGTCCAGTTTGTTCTTTCTACACCATACGGTCGCAGTCTGCAGCCTAGACCTCAACAATTAATTTTCCATTTTTTTAATTTATTTTTTTTAAGCGGCCTCTTTCAAGACCCACCTGCACACCCCAAATGAGCTACCTGGACCAATTACAAGCAGAGGAGGATCGAAATAATGGGCTCAGGGCCAGGAGCGGAGTTGCCAGGCACAAAAGTCCCACTAATTAGATGGAACAGTTAAATGACAAAACCCAGGCAGGGGCTGGCGGGGGCAGGAGTTGGGGTTCCTCACCGGAGCAGCCATCGTCAGGGGGCTTAAAATGCGCATGTAAGGTGGAAACATCTGTCCTTTGGCTGATGCCTGTGGATGCTGGGGTTTGGCGGGGGGATTGTAACGTGTCTGTGTCCCGGTGTGACCAGGACTGTGAGGAGTGCGGGTGCGCTGACGGCAGCGGGAGCCGGGGGGTTGTGCCAGGGCTCGGCTGCGGATGCCACGCAGGTACCTGGGGCCAGTCTGGACCCCGCACCGGATGAGGACCTCCTGATGCTGAGGGGGACCCATCTCCGCTGGAGGCTGAGGAAGCACCAGGTCCTGGTGGATCTGGGAAGCGGATTCCCTCGAGATCCTCTGCAATGGGGAATTAGCGGGAGGAGGCAAACGCTTTAGTGGGGTGACCCTGGGAGGTCATTGCAGACCAAAAGGAAAAAGGATCTTGTGTTATAAACCCCACAATACCCACCCAGCAAATACCCAAACCACTTCAGATCTCTTCTAAGGTTATTTCCTTAATTCTGTTTTAGCTCTCACACATTTGTGGATGCAATTATTTTCCTATGGAAAAAAAAAAATACCCTCCCACACAAGTGAGATCAAGACTATTAACTGGAGTCAGCCACTTGTCACAAGAGCTGCTTGAAGAAGAGAGGGCTGTGTTTACCGGTGCTCTGGTAAGAAGCAAGAGAGCACACTTTAAAATAATAATTAAAAAAAAAAAAAAAGCCTTTCTCCTTCTTCGAGAGCAGCGAGCCCGGCTCCAGCTGTGCCCGTCTCCCAGATGTGCCCGCGGGTCTGAGCGTGGGACTCCCGCCTGCAGACTCATCCCACCTGCAGACTCGTCCCACCAGATCAACCAGTTTCACTTTCAGAAATAGGAAGTTCGCCGGGAAGGGCCGGCGAGCGCCCAGACGCGCGCGAGGGACGCGGGACGGCGGCATGAGCCGCCCGGCCGGCGGCATGAGCCCGGGATCGCCCCTTCCTCTGGCCTCGAGGGGCGCGGTGGCATAGACCACCGCATCCACAGCATCCACCAGGGATGGAGCAGTTTGTCCGGAAGCGTTTGACCTTTCTGACGTCCTTCTGGAACAAACTCCGTCCCCGCTCGGTGCCGGAGAGCTGCTCGCTGGGGTATCTTGGTTCCGATTCTGTTTCGCTGCACTCGGAGCCGAACTCCATTTCCTTCATCCCCAAGTCCTCTCTCTTTATCGCTTTATACGCTTTCACAGCCCGGAGCGCGGAGGAACTGAGCGTAAACGCAGGGGACAAACTGCGTGTTCTCAGAGAAGAAGGAGAATATGTCTTAGCCCGACGTTTGCTGGGGGAGCCGGCCATGGGCTACGTTCCTGCTGCGTACGTGGCCAACCTCAGCCAGGGCACCTCCACTCACCGGCCGTAAGTATCCCGTTCTCTGGACCAGTAGGGGGATGGAGGCTGGACCAGGCTGGACCATGTCCCTGCCCAGGGAAAGGCAGCGCTCGCCCTCTGCTCCGGCGGGGACCACGGGCTCCTCATCCCCTGCTTTTGCCACCAGTGGTGGTGGGACTGAGAGGGGACCTTCCCTCCCCTGAGCATCCTTGCCGTGAAGCTCCTGCAGCTCCCAGCGGTGGGGTGGGGGTGTTCAGCACACCCTGTCTGGGGGATGCACCGGGGGCAGAGATGCTGCTCCCCCTTTCCTGGGTGCATCACCCTCGCACGGGACGAGGTGGCTCCAGGCTGGGACGCAGTGCCATGGTGTGTGTGGGCACCGAATACACGGGTTCCTGCTTGTTCCAGCTCCTCTCCGTTAAAGGGGAGGCAGCAGGGAGGGAGGGAGCTGGGGGAGCTTCTTCCTGAGCCCTGCCAGCTCCAAACACCCCGGGGAGAAGCAGTTTGGGTTGGGACCTGCCGGGAAACCCAGAGCTCTGTAAGGCCAAGCCATGCTGCGGCTGCTGCCACGCGGCTCCTGCGCATGTGGGGCTGGGGGGGTCCCTCCCCGTCGGTGCCTCTCCCACCCGACGTGGAGCTCGGGTTGATGTCTCAGCCCTCTCTCAGCAGGGGAAAGCCCAGGCTCAGCGTTGCATAAGGCAGCCCGGTCCCGACACGCCGGGCAAAGCGCCCCGAGACACTGCTGCTCCCTCTGTGCCAGGCCGTGAGTCACGGCGAGCGATGGGGAATGCAGGGACGGGGCGGGTGCGATCGCCCTGCAGACTCCCCCGGCGCTCGCCCTGCGCCACCCAGGGGGAAGGGGAAGAGAACAGGAGCAGGGGGAGACTGGGAAGGGGCCCCGAAGGGCAGGGGTGGGATGGGAAAGACCCTCCCGTGCTCCCCTCCTTACATGTGCTTGGGAGAAAGGCACCTTCCGTCTGGTTTGGACCGTGGTGGGACCACGCCGGTGAGGATGGCGGGGTCAGCTGGCGGCTTTAGTCCCATAGCACGGAACAGTTGGGCAGGCTACAGCTGAGCGTGCGTGTGCGTGTGCGTGTGTGTGTGTGTGTGCCACAACCTGTGCCCATCCCCGTCCCGAGGCCGGCGGCGAGGGGGATGCTGCGGTGCGGGAGGGCGGTGGGCAGCAAATGTGCTCGGCATCGCAGCCGGAGCGAGCGGGCGAGCGCGCAGACTCGGTGGAGCCGCAGGTCGGAGCTGGGTGGTAATTTGTTCGGCTGTGTAACCCCGTCACGTATAATTTCCTGCGCGGCTTCTCAGAGGCTGGCGATCCCAGCTAATGATGAAACCTTCGGCTTCTCACGTCCCGGCTGCATCAGGCTGGAGGAGCAGCCCCGTGCTCCCACGCGTCCCTCTGAGCCGGGACCCAGCCCACCAACCTGCCTTTCCTCGCTGGGGATTCGGTGACGTATCTCAGCACCGATCGGCTGCGGAAGAGGGGTTTGGCTGTGTCCTCCCTCCTGGCTCCGTGCTGCTGAGGTCCTCAACCAGCGCTGCCATTTCTGCACCAGCAAAGGCCAATTCCTGGAGATGTTTTTCCAGAATCACAGAATGGTCAGGGTTGGAAGGGACCTCTGGAGGTCATCTAGTCCAACCCCCCTGCCAGGGCTGGGTGATGAGATTACTGATGAGATTACTGATTTGATTCGCTCACGGGCTCTGAGAGGTGGTTGTGTCCATGAGTCGCGGGTCAAGAAGTGCAAAGTGATCCCGCGCCTGTGGCTGTTGCTCTCGTAGCAGGACACGTGGGTGCAACCCCCGCCAGAGCATCTTCTGCGCAGGAGTGGGCGGTTGGTGCTTTATTGGTGCTCACCTCCCCGCTGGCCTGAGCCGCGGGTGCAAACCTCCTCATTTCGGGGATGGTGCTGAGACCTGGCCAGCTCGATGCAGCAGTGAGATGCTGGAGAAAACGCTCTGCAGTCAGCAAGCTGCAATAAAACGCAACATTTGCCTGCAAAACCCATCCGATAAAGGAGTCCCGACGCAGGCTGGCGATGGACCGCGCGGGCAGCCGTGTTCGCAGGCTCTGAGCCATAGGGCTGCCCACCGTGCCACTCGCTCGGTGGCTACCAGGGGCGAGCAAATGGTGGGAGGGAGCTGCTTGCACTCAGAAGGGGCAGGAGCCCCCGGGGTTGGATGCGGCCCCATCCGTGCACCATCTCTTTGCACCGCACTAACCCCCTCCGCTCTGCTCCCCCTCCTTCCCCAGCTGGTACTTCAGCAAGATCAGCCGAAACGAAGCGGAGCAGCTCCTGCTCTCCCCTCCCAACCAGCACGGCTCCTTCCTCGTCCGGGACAGCGAGAGCAGCAAGGGCGAGTACTCTCTCTCAGGTAATTTTGGTGGCAATTACCCAGAGAAAAATGAGCACAGGGAAAAGAACCAGGCTGTTCCTTAGGGGCAGCTTCTGGCTCGGTCAGCACGGGGTGACAAACACGGAAATATGTTAAAATGCTTTGCAGCATCAAGCGAATTGAGCGCTTTCTGAATGCGTGGGGAAAGCTAATAGATGCAGGTATGGATTGCCGAATTACCGTGGCAAAGGAAAGTACGCTGCTCCCGTCCAGGGTATGAAAGCCATAAACAATTCACAGTGGCTTAATGATGGTTTCGTGGCCCTGACTCCCAGGATTTCATTCCAGCGGCTTTTGTCATCCCAGGGCTGTCTAAAAATACGCCGCCTCTCCAGGTTGCCGGGGCCTGGGCTGCTCCCACCTCCAGAAATGTGAATTCAGGCAGTTTTGGACCAGGCAGTACCATTACGATCTGGTCCAATCCACCTAAAAAAAAAAAAAAACCCTGAGAAATTCACGGCGAACCCCTCATCCCACCCGTTGGCTCCCCCCGGGCTGCAGCGTGCCTGCGGGAGGTCCGGCCACCCCCAGTTTATCCACCTTGAGCAGCCACAAACTCTGCCGCTCTCCGAGCAGTTCGTTTGCGTGGGGAATTATCCCCACTAATAAAGCATCACCTCTCCGGTCCAAATGACCCCCCCACTCGCCCGCGGCCAGGAGTCTCCTGAGCCGGGAGGTGGGAGCACAGGGGGTGACGGGGAGGGGGATGCGATACCCCGGGGGCGAGTTGGGTTGCTTTAGGGTGAATTCATGGACATGGCTGGAAAGGGGAGAGGGTGAGAATCGGCGGGGAGGTGGGAAGGAGCCGGCGATGGCACGAGCTGAGTTTTCCCCCCGCCCTTGGCTTCCCTGCAGTGCGCAACCACGCGAAGGTCAGCCACTTCCGAATCTGCAAGAGCCCCGGGGGCAGCCTCTACATACAGAAGGGACATCCCTTCCCCGACATGGAGGAGCTCCTCGCCTTCTACACCAAGCACTGGAAGGTCATCCAGAGCCCCCTGCTGCAGCCCTGCAGCCCCGCGGTGCGTACGCCAACGGCACGGCCAAGGTCCCAAAGATGGCCAGGGTGGAAAAAAGGAAAGAGAAACGAGAGGGAAATAGAAATAATTAGTCTATGCATTTGGGGTTGGAGCTTTATTAAGCTAAATTTAAAATACACCATTAGTATGGCTGTCAGCATCACCTCTTATCATCCGTGTTAAGGCCAGGCATGGCATGCAGATGTATTTTTGAACAGCCAAAAGGCACAGGTTTTTCTGAAATGTCTTCTCCATCTCAAAGACTAGAAACTGTGTTGCTACAAATCCCTTCAATACCAAATCTGGAAATACCTGCGCTTCCAATTTTTTCCCTAGAGTATAATAAGACCACATTGCTTTTACATAGTTTTCATGCCAATTAGTGTGGCACCCATAAATCCAATTAGAGTATTAATCCCAAATTGCCGACTCATTTCCTGATTAGAATTCCATTCACCAATTAAGACTTAGAAGTAACAATTAAACATGTGAATAATTCGAGAGTGAAATTGAAAGGTGTAAGATAAAAGAAATGCTTAATGAGCTGAAGTCTAAACCAGCCGTAATATTCAATAATATTCATTTACTCATTTTTATTTATTGGTGGAAATGGAGAAAAGCCACCTTTGAGGTCTGATGAGGAGGGAATTATGACTTGAATTCCTGATATTTCATGTAGTCTCCAAAAATCTCCCCCACATTGCACACGTTGGCTCCCAGCAAAGATAACGCAGTGGATGCCCCACATGCTTTGTGTCCTCCAAGAACATTTAACAGAGGGAAAAGCAATGCCCGGGCTGCAGCCCCTGTGGAATGTAGGTGGTAGAGCACCATGTCCTGCTCACTCCTCCACGGCCACCGGGACTTGGTGGGCACCAAGAGCTGGTGCAGGCTCCACCAGCAGGTCCTGCCTGGCTGGTCCGAGCATGGAATGCCCATTTCACAGACCCCTCCGGAGCGGGACGGCTGGGAGCGCCCGCGCTGGGAGTTCACCCTGCGGAGGAAGCTGGGAGAGGGCTACTTTGGAGAGGTGTGGGAAGGACTGTGGAGGAACACGGTGCCAGTGGCCATCAAGATCATAAAAGGTAGGTGGAGCAGCAGATGTTAACAGTGGCCCAGGGGGTCTCTTGTTCTCTGCCACATCGTTCACCCCTTTTTGTTTCTTGGTCCTCTTGGTCACAGTGTCTGCATTGTCAAGCAAACTGTGGTAGGACCCGGCAAGTAGCCACTGTGCTACTTCTGTGTACCCACCTAAGCTTGGACTTCACCTTTATAAAATGGCTCTGTCTAATGGGTTTGTGATAAGTCAAGTCCTGATGGGACTGTGATCCTGAAAACAGGATCCAAAGCCCCATGGAAAACATCTCTTGGGTGTTTGGACCTGAAAAACAGGGTGTGCAGACATGAACTTTGAGAGCAGGGGTGGGCTGTGAGGAGGAAAATGGCCCTCATTCCAGTTGGAGGTGCTGATCTCCCAACGCCCATGTGAGAAAGTAGCTCACAACCGTCATGTTGACTTTCGCCCCCAGCCGACATGAAGGCAGAAGACTTCACCAAGGAGATTCAGAACCTGAAGCGCCTGAGGCATGAGAAGCTGATCCAGCTGCACGCCGTCTGCTCGCTGGATGAGCCTGTGTATATCATCACTGAGCTGATGCGGAAAGGCAACCTCCACAGCTACCTCAACAGTGAGTACTGGTGCCAGCATTGTGGGGAGTGGGCTCCTGGGGCAGCGCTGCTCTGCAGGTGCTTTCCATGCCCGGGAATGGCACTACAAACCCAAGAGAGGACCCTAAGAGAGAGTGAGCCTGGTTTCCATCCTGCTTAGATCAGTGGTCATGCAGAGAAACCCATGGGTGCTTGGTGGAGATGGTCCTGGGTGAAGCCAAGACCCAGAGATGCAGTCTGGTGTGAGCCTTTTGGTGTCCATATGGGTTGAGTCCACTTCAGTCCCTGGGAGCCCAACTGTGCTGGTAGGGACCTTCATCCCTCCTTCATCACTCACTTGTGGGCTGCCAGCTCCCATCATTGGACAGAAACCTCTCTCCTGTGTTTGGGCAACTCTGCCTTCATTAGCAATGAAACGGCCAAACCTGCCCCTGGGCCTGGAGGCGTAGTTTTGTTCACCTGCAGAGCTGGTAACAGACTATGGTCCACTCATCACCTGGCCATCAGTTTATTTTTCTTGGCCTTTCTTTTCCTGACTCAGTAATCAGTCTCGAAGTGAAACAAGACAAACAGCTCCCACCAAGACCTGTTTTTCTACTGGGTACACCCCCCCTCCTCCCCTAGACTGACCTCGTTTTTGGCTGGGGCTCCAGCAGCATTTGGTACCGGAGGAGCTGGAGCTTGCACGTAGGACAGGTTGAGAGGCCTCGCTGGAGATTTGCATGGCAGAAGGTCACCTTTAGCTTCAAAAGAGCCATGGATGTCTGCGTCCTTATTGCAGCACAGGGCGCTCTTCAGAGCTCACCCCGGTCCCATGCCTGAGGAGCACGTGGCTGTGCTGAACTTCCCATGTGGCACGACCAGGATGGTTAGGAAGGAGTTCCAGTTCAAGGTTTTACACATTCCCCTGGTCCCATGTTGCTGGCACAGGGTCTCCTTCCAAACCACAACACCCAAAATAGACGTTGCTAGACTGCACCCAATGCTTGGATCGTCTGGGTTAACAGGTCCCGAAGGGAAGTCCCTGGGCACCTCCCACCTGCTCAACATCGCCTGCCAAGTGGCGGATGGGATGAGGTACCTGGAGGAGAAGCACATTGTCCACCGGGACCTGGCGGCCAGAAACATCCTGGTGGGAGAGGAACTCACTTGCAAAATCGCCGATTTTGGACTTGCCCGGCTCCTCAAGGTTGGTCAGTGGGATGCTGTGGCCCCTCCCCATCACTCCAGGCCACCAAGCTGCCCCATACTGCAACCGTTCCCTCACCATCCCCTTTCCAAGCCCACAGCCCCAGCAAAGATCCAAAAGCAGCGGCTGTGTTCATCGTACCATCCCTCATGACCCATCTCCCATTGCTTTTCAGGATGACATTTATTCCACCAGCAGCAGCACCAAAATCCCAGTGAAGTGGACAGCCCCGGAGGCAGCCAACTACCGCACCTACTCCCTCAAGTCCGATGTCTGGTCCTACGGGATTCTGCTCTATGAAGTCTTCACGTATGGACAGATCCCGTATGAAGGTAGGGCTGCCAGTCCCCTCCAGCACCACTCCATCCACACGCTGGGCAGCTCGCCCACTGTCCCCAAAAGCCAACATGTCATGAATTGGTATATTGTCCCTTCCACAAGGGATGTGGAAGCAGCTCCTAGAGCATGAGCAAGTTATTGTCCACTTTGGGAATTTCTTAGAGGGATTTTCAGTGCTTGCAGAGGGGGTGCAGGAGCTGTGAGCAGGAAGGTGGTATGGGCTGGATGATCTCCCACAGCCTCTCTTCTACCAACCTCGTGGCAGAGAGACACCATCTCACTGCAGCGCCAGTGGACGTCTTGGCCCACTGCAAGTGTACCCTCAGGGCATCCTTTGGGGACGTTAGACTGAGGGGCATCTTCTCCTTCCTTGTAGGAATGACAAACCAAGAAACCGTACGGCAAATCACCAGGGGCTACCGCCTTCCCCGGCCCAGCTCCTGCCCTCCCGAGATCTACAGCATCATGCTGGAGTGCTGGAGCGGCAACACAGAGGAGCGTCCTACCTTCCTGGCCCTGCGGGAGAAGCTGGGCTTCATCTACAGACGGCTGCTCAGCTCCCTCTCTTGAGGGACCTCTTCCCACCATCCTTCCTGCACAAGCCCCTCCAGGCCAGCTCTTGCCAAGTGGCTCCTTCCTTCTGGTTTGCCCTCCGACAGGGCTCCAAGGAAAGCACATCCTCCCCCCAAACCAGCCCATGGCCCCTCCGGGTCAGGACGCGGGGAGGTGGCCGAGGGAAAAGGCAACGACTTGTGGAGAACTCGGTGCCGGCGCTTGGCAGTGTAGCAGTCTGGAAAAGCCCCATGGTAGTGAAGGCATCACCCAGAGTTTACATCTTCGTTCAGCCAGTAGGGTGGGAGGTCCCTGCCGCTCCCCACGCCGACGTGAAGGTTTGTAGATTGTGTTCAGTTGTGGCTCCGCTTGATTTTTCTTGTAGTGTGTGTCCGGTGTATTTATCAATAAACGTGTGTGCATCCAACCACGTGAGTCCTCGCAGGGCAGTGCTGGACCCTCAGCCCTCGCCACGCTGCTCCCTCCCTGCCCAGTAAGCAATGCTTTGCCACCAGTCCCGCTCTTGCAGCTGCAGATAGAACCATTTTCACATCTCTTTGGTCTCTTTTCACCCAGCTGTGCATTAAACTGTGTGCCTCTGCCACCTCTTTCCCAGGCGGCAGCCCTGCTTGCCCCGAGGGCCTTGCACAAACAGCTCCTGCATGAGCTGCTCCGCTCTGGCTCCTCGTCTTCCTCACCATCGCATGGTTATTCCCAGAAAAACGCATGTCCGGGTTCAAATATTCAACATATTTAGCCCAGGAGCAGGCAGCACTTGGTCAAACACGGCTTCACCTTGTCGCGCTCTTCATCACATCCATGGTGCACAGCCAAGAGATGGTCCCACCACCCCCAGCTCCCTGCCGAGCCCCTCTCGCCGCTCCCGGGGTACGGCATCACAGGAGGACCTTGAGCCTCTCATCCTCACTGAGCCAGGGGGAGCGTTTGCTCTGGCCCAGCACCTTTTGTGTGTCCTCCCCCCTGCATGCTCCAGGATGCCGAGCTGTCCTTGGCAGCAGTGGAAGGACTCACCGAAAAGCAGCACCGGGAGCGGTGCCGAAGCCGCGGCCAGTCTGCCTCGAGCAGGGCTGCTCCAGCACCGATGCGCTCGGGGCACTGGTGGTGGGGGAGCACACATCTCTTTGGTCTCTTTTCACCCAGCTGTGCATTAAACTGTGTGCCTCTGCCACCTCTTTCCCAGGCGGCAGCCCTGCTTGCCCCGAGGGCCTTGCACAAACAGCTCCTGCATGAGCTGCTCCGCTCTGGCTCCTCGTCTTCCTCACCATCGCATGGTTATTCCCAGAAAAATGCATGTCCGGGTTCAAATATTCAACATATTTAGCCCAGGAGCAGGCAGCACTTGGTCAAACACGGCTTCACCTTGTCGCGCTCTTCATCACATCCATGGTGCACAGCCAAGAGATGGTCCCACCACCCCCAGCTCCCTGCCGAGCCCCTCTCGCCGCTCCCGGGGTACGGCATCACAGGAGGACCTTGAGCCTCTCGTCCTTACTGAGCCGGGGGGAGCGTTTGCTCTGGCCCAGCACCTTTTGTGTGTCCTCCCCCCTGCATGCTCCGGGATGCCGAGCTGTCCTTGGCAGCAGTGGAAGGACTCACCGGAAAAGCAGCCCGGGAGCGGTGCCGAAGCCGCGGCCAGTCTGCCTCGAGCAGGGCTGCTCCAGCACCGATGCGCTCGGTGCACTGGTGGTGGGGGAGCACAACGAGCCGGGGGTGAAAGACCACCGCGCATAGCCGGGGCTGCTTAGGTTTGGGTTTCCTTACGACTGAAAAAAAAAAAAATAAATCCTGGCAGAGCTGGAATATATAAAGTTAATAAAGTTTATGTAATGCTCTCCGTGCCTGAGCAGCACCCACCCTGTGCCGAACGGCAGCAACGAGTCCGGTTGTTCATTGAGCAAGTCTCCGTGCACGGGGGGCCTGGAGAGGGGAGGTGGGAAGGCGGTTTAGGTGTGTGATAAATTTGGAGCCGGCCACGCTTCCTCTGAAGCCCGAGCAAAGGTAAGGCGGTCACTGAGCCCTCGGGAAGGCGGCAGCTGCGGGTTAGGGTGTTCACGGCCGGAAAAAGCTAAAAAATAGGTTGCCGTGGTGTTTGGACAGGGTTACAGGAGGAAACCCTCATCTCACGAAGCATCTCGCAGCCTGATCGGACACCTGAGCAGAGAGCTCCCACGCACAGCCCAGGTCCCCCCCTCCTATGGGAAACGACGGACCCAAGCCACGGCCGGCAGGTGGTGGGGTTATCACACGTCAAAAAAGGGATGGTACATGCGTGGCGCAGGCACGGAAGGGTTGTTGGTGCAAGGTATTAAATTTATAGGTCTGGCTGCCACCAGATGGAGCTAAAAACGAAGCAGGAGGAGCAGGGCGTGCGTGGGGTGAGCGGGCTGGCGTGGGCGGCAGAGGGGCATTTCCTCCTCCCAACTGCATTAAAAAAACCCCACGCTGCTTTGGGTTTGCGCTCCAGCGCGGTCTGCTGGGTTTGTGTCATGACTTGTTTCCTAAACGTAGACAGAGGTGCAGGGGGGGAGCCCAGATCTTCCCATCCTCTCCCAGGATCTCAGCCTGGGCAAGGGCACTGCAGCTCCTCCCCCCCCCCCAAAAAAATAAATCAAAAAATCAGGATTGCTACGGGAACCGGGCTCTTCCCAAAATCCATCCCGTAGAAGCAGAGCTGCCGGGGCCCCGCTCCCATCTGAACCCCTCCGGGGTGGGCATTGCAAACACTGTGCTGCTCAAGGCATTCGCCTGCTCTGCTTTCAGCCCGGCGTGCGCCCCCTTTGCCGATTCACTTTGACCGAATGGCATTTGAAAACAGCGTCAGGCTAACGCCGCGCACGCGAGCCGCCCAGTTGGTTTCTATTTTTGGAATAGAAATTCCACGTTGGCCTTTGAAGGGTGGG